AATTTTGCTCCACATAAAAAGATACCAGTTTTCAAATGGGGAATCAAAAAATTTTCTGGAAATAGCTCAGTTATTGAATTTCTAGAAATTGTCGAATCTCTAATGTCTTCCCGTGGTTGCAATGAGATGGATCTCTTTGCATCTGCAGGTGATCTCTTTGAAGATGTAGCCTGGACATGGTGGCATAATGGCCATCTAAGAAATAGCTTTCATGATTGGCAGGACTTGATTAAACAACTCAAGGATGCTTTCCTACGTGACAATTATGATATGAACCTAATTGATGAGATTCGTAGACGCAAACAAGGTCAGCATGAACATGTTACGATCTTCATTTCGTTCATGGAATCTCAATTCAATAGATTAACCTACAATACATTTACAGAAAAGGACATGGTCAATATTGTCCGTAGAAATTTATTGCCTGACTTCATAAAGTCACTTGCTCTTCATGAAATTTCCACTTTTCCTGAACTAACATCACTTTGTAGGAAATTAGAGGATTCCTTCTTGACTTGTCAACCCCACAATAGACTTTCCACTTCCAGCTTGGTTACTTCTGATAGTACTCCATCATCTCACAGAAAAGCTCCTGTATGTTGGAACTGCGAGAAACTAGGACATTCTGTTCGAGACTGTAGAGCTCCTAAGGCTGTTTATTGCTATAGCTGTGGTATGAAAAATGTCACACGCTCTAATTGTCCTTCCTGTTCAAAAAACGTGAGGCAAGAAGTTTCCAATCCGACTCCCGGAACTTCTTTCGCCCAGACTCGAGGAGTCATAGACGTAAAGGGCAAAGCAACTCCAGGTCTAATTCTGAAGTCCAACAAATAGCCAAGTTAAGACAACCTTCAGCAATTAATCCCGATTTTGACATTAATCATTCACAACTTGCAGGTATGCCATCAAATGATCATTCAGAACCATTTATTCAAAAACCAAATGACAATCGTCCACATCTTTCAATATCCATTGGTGATGAAAACATTTTAGCTTTGCTTGATACTGGAAGCAATGCCAACATTCTAGGTTCATCTGGCTTATACTTATTACGTAAATTAAATCTCAACATCGATTACAGTAGTACCTTGCAATTAACAACTGCTGATGGCCAGATGCAAAATACTTTAGGTTTTGTTTTGCTACCAGTACGTTTTAATGGCAAAGTTCATGTCATTAAATTCATAATAGTTCCTTCCATTACACACACATTACTTTTAGGCATGGATTTCATCCTAAAATTCAATTTCAACCTTGATTTTCATACTTTCTCATATCAATCTTGTGCTGTAAATTGTATTCAAGGTATGGAGAAGCTATCTAATATGGAAAAGGAACAATTATTTGAAATTGTTGAACTTTTTAATAGCATTGCACCTACTGACAGTATTGGTTGTAGACATTTATATACACATCACATTGACACAGGTGATGCAAAGCCCATCAGGCAAAGACAATATCCTCTTTCTCATGTAATGGAAAAAGCTCTTATTAAGCAAGTTGATGAAATGTTGGACATGGGTATTATAGAACCTTGCAGCAGTGCCTGGTGTTCAGCGCTCTGGCTGGTTTCCAAGAAAGACGGTTCATATAGAGTTTGTTTTGATGGTAGAAAACTAAATTCAGTAACAATTCCTGACGCGTATCCTCCTCCTTTAATAGACTCTGTAATTTCTAAAATCATAGATGCCAGATATCTATCATCCATTGATTTAAAATCAGCATTCTTCCAGATTCCACTTGATGAAGAATCTAAATTAAAAACAGCTTTCATAGTTCGTGGTAAAGGAATGTATTGCTTTCGAAGACTTCCTTTTGGCCTTTCTCATAGTTCAAGTGCAATGTGTCGATTATTAGACATGGTTATCGGTCCTGATCTGGAACCATATGTTTTTTATTATCTGGATGATATAATTGTGGCAACTCCTTATTTTGAAACTCACCTAAGGATACTGAAAGAAGTTTATAATCGATTGAAAGATGCTATCTTGACTGTAAATTTTGAAAAATGTCATTTTGCTCGCTCATCTTTGACTTTCTTAGGCTATGTTGTTGATGAGAAAGGACTTAGAACAAACCCCGAAAAAGTATCTGCACTCTTATCATATCCTCAACCAACTAATACTACTCAGATTCGAAGGTTGATTGGAATGTTTAGCTATTATCGTCGTTTCCTTAACAATTTTAGTGATGTATGTTCTTCAATTTCAGACTTGCTTAAAAATCGGAAGAAGGGTGAACCTATCACTTGGACTCCTGATGCTGACAATGCTTTTAAGGAAATTAAGAATTTGCTAACCAGCGCTCCAATTCTTGCTAGTCCAGACTTCTCCAAGCCCTTCTATATTTGTTGTGACAGCTCAAATACTGGTGTGGGAGGCACACTTTATCAAGAAGAAAATGGTTTGGAACATCCCATAGCTTATTTCAGTAAATCTCTCAACAAGTGCCAAAGAAAATACTCTACAACTGAAAAAGAACTGCTTGCAGTCATTCTTAGTATTGAACATTTCCGTTGTTACATAGAGCACACACATTTTTTCGTTATTTCTGATCATTCAAGTTTGCAGTGGTTGAGATCTCAAAAAACACCTTCACCTAGACTATGCAGATGGTTATGTCGTCTCTCCCCTTACGATTTTAAAATTATTCATCGTAAAGGCAAAGATATACCTGTAGCAGATGCTCTTTCGCGTTTGCATGAAAATGAGGTTAATGTGTCAGTTTTAGATCTTGCGGAATTATCTCCTGACAAGTGGTATCGTAAAATGATACGTAAGGTTGAAAACAACCCTGAATTGTATCCATCTTTTAAAGTAGAAAATAATATTCTATACAAACATATTCTTTCTGATAATCCACTTGCAGAAACTTATACTGACTGGAAAATCGTTGTTCCAGCTCCAAATAGATCTAAATTGCTCAAAATGTATCATGATCATCCTACTTCTGGTCATTTAGGAGTATTTAAAACACTATCTCGCATATCAGCTATTTATTATTGGCCTAAAATGAAGCAATCTGTTCAGTTCTATGTACACTCATGCAAAGTTTGTTCACAATGCAAACCTAGTAATTTACCTCATGCTGGATTAATGGGTAAATATAGAGACATCAAGTATCCAATTCAAATGATTTCAGCAGATCTTTTAGGACCATATCCTCGTTCTAAAAAAGGCAATCGTTTTCTTTTAGTAGTTTGTGACTGGTTCACTAAACTTGTACTAGTTCATCCAATGCCTAAGGCAACTTCAAGCTCAATTGTAAAATTTTTAGAAAATCAAGTTTTCCTTATATTTGGAGTTCCTCAAATCATCGTTGTAGATAATGGTCCACAGTTCATTTCTAAACAATTTAAAGCGCTTGCAGATTCATATAAAGTGCAGAAGATATGGTATTCAGCAAGATACACCCCTCAGGTAAATCCTACTGAGCGAGTTAACAGAACCATCGTTACTGCAATTAGGTCCTATATCAAAGACTCTCATAAAACTTGGGATGAGTCTATTCATCAAATAGCTCAAGCAATCAGACTTGCTAAACATGAAGTCACAGGATACTCGCCCAGCTTTCTAAATTTTTACAGAAATGTACCAGTTGATGGGTCATTCTATGGAAAGATTGCACCTGTTGCCAATAATCCAGTCAATATCGACCAGAACGTCATAGATCCAAATTTTGTTCAGCAAATTCCAGAATTTTACCTTAAAGTCCAGCACAGAATGCGGCGTTCCTACGAACTTAATAGAAATAGGTATAATCTGCGTAGACGACATCTGCAATTTAATAAAGGTGATAGAGTTCTCAAACGCAATTTCTTTCAATCAAGTGCTGCAGACAACTTTTGTGCCAAACTAAGTCCAAAATTCCTTCCTTGTATTGTTCATATAGTAAAATCTCCGTTAGTATACACATTGAAAGATCTCCATGGTAATATCTTGGGAGATTTTCATGTTAAAGACTTGAAACCTGATAATACGTTGAATGTTGATCATGGCAATGGTATTGATGTTTTGCGTAATGATGTAATGAGTGAGAGTTCTGATTCGGACAGCGATTAACTTTTGCTTTTGTGTATTATTATGCTTTATATACTCTCATATTCTAAAATTCAGATAAATTATTCTTGCTTAATCATTATCATTTGTAATAATACATATTTCCGCTCAATCGAAGGGGGCGAGTTTTTCGATCTGTACATTGGAGCGAGTAGGTTTTCCTATATTTATTTCCTAGTACAGATGCGAACGGATAAGAGTTTCCTTTGATAATTGTTAAGCTAATTTTCTGTAAAAGGCAGTTTAATGTTTACTTTGGACATTTGTCATCGTTGTTCTTTCCACCTTTTGAAGTATTACGTCAGTCCACCATTTACATAATTTACAAGTCATAATTATTTTTCTGATTCCAATTTAATGTGTATACTTCATCTTTTGAATATTTCATTTTTCTGAGTGTACTCAAAATTTAAATTGCATTCCCGATCAAAATCATGTGACAAATACTGTGTATAATATTTTATAATGTTTTTATGCGTATATTTTCTGAATTTCTTTTACATACTAGACTTACGTACCTCTATTTTTGAAGTCTATTACTTTTGAAGTTTTTGATAGTATCATCTTTTTGAATTAATCATAACTTTCTTCTTTCTTCGAGAGCACAGACTTACATTGATTTTTGGTTCAAACTTTTGATGTTTGTTCACATATTTTTGAGTGCTTTTGAACTTTGACAGTATTTTGTAGTCTGGATAGTAACATAGATTCGTTGCGATGTATGCCTTTGAGGGTCTTCTACTATCCACAGTTTCTAGTTTTTCTAATATTGTAATATTTCATATTTGAACTTAACTTTCATTTTACAATGTTATGGTTACTCTCTACTTTGAAGTGCGCTGATGATAGTGATCTACATGAGAATATTCCATAGACTGTAGACATTCTTGTCTAGGGCTTTGGAGTGCACCTATGGTGACCCTAGAAAGTTGTCTTTCTCTCATATTTTTGCTTTAAATCAAAATTCGAATTCTTACCTATCATATTTATGTAAGCGGAAAATCTAGAACACCCCGAAGTACCGATGGCTCAGCATTCAAGTATCCGTCGCTGGCCGTCTAGTGATTGTTAGAACGTCTTTGGGTGACTGAGAACGTCGAGGTTGCGGGCTTTACAGCCGAACGCAGCCGAGTAGCCGAAGACAGTCGATCCCGAGAAGACCGAAGTGGCAGGTGGGGTCGGCGGAAGGGGTCTGGCGCGACGGTCGTGGAGAGCGTGACCTATGGCATGAGCTGTAACTTAAACAAACGGAATAATAGACGTTTAAAAGAATCGCGTCGCTGTATTGTTTGGGGTGTTCGCCCTATAGACCCATCTAAAGTTTACATCAGAAGTGGGATACACACCGTGCTCAAGACAATAGTGTGAAAACGTATTTTTAGTGAAACGTGAAAATGGCGGAAAACAGTGGACATCGTGAACCTGAGTTACAACGAGGGGATTTTGACGAAAGTGACTCTGAGGAGGAACTGCCTGCAGGTCCTTCATCTCCGAAACGTGCAAAAATTCAGTGGCAGGAGACGCTTATTAATTTGGTAGCGACCCAGCAACAACAACTCGCTGAATTATCGCGCCAAACCAACATGGCGATATCCATGGCGCAATTCGCCGCGTCAACGCCCAGTACAAGTGCGCCAGATCCGATTGTCCCGTCCGTGATCAATTCGTCATTCAAGATTTCAAGCTTTGATCCCGATAAAAGTGCTTATCCTATAAAGGAATGGCTGGATGATTGCACGAAATTAAAAGAAGAGTTAAAGGTAAGCGATATGTTGATGATTGCCAAAATTGAAGACGCATTACGTCATCGAGGTTATCGTTATTATTGTGACTGGAGACCTCTTAGTAGGACGTGGTCAAATTTCTGCGAGGATTTAATTATTGCATTCCCTGATAAAGAGACACCTGGAGCGAGAGCGTATAAAGCGGCTACGCTTCGTAGCGTTGATTGTGAGTCACTATGCGATTATGGGAATCAAAAACTGAGAATGATCGGCAGATTCTACGACAAGCTTCCATGGGACACTGTTCTTAGTATGATAGAACATGGCTTGAACCATAACGAAGCGCGTTCCGCAATCCGAATACAAAATCCTAGTTCTGAGCGTGAGCTACTTAAATTATTAGGAGAATTTGATGCGCGTGTCAACAAAATGCGCGATGTTGCAGGAACATCAGGCAACCGAAAATCTGAGCGTTTTGTGAAAGAACCCCTTCACGAGTCAAAAAGCCGACGAGTTGTAGGAGAATTTAAAGGAAAATGCTTCAAATGTGGTCGACTTGGACACTCGCAAAGCAAGTGCAGAAATTATCGAAAAGAGCCAGAAGTTTCAGAGGCCGCAAGTGAAGTTCCGAAATCCAAAAATGTTTCTATTCCTAGATGCAATCACTGCAAGAAAATGGGTCACACTGAGGATAACTGTTGGTATAAGAACGGAAAGCCTCAAAAAGCATTCGTGGTCAGAAAATGACGCCAACTGTTATTGACGCCGATAGCTACAGTTTTATGCAACAATCGCGCTCCTTCACTGACGTATCGCGTGGATAGTGGTGCTGATGTGTCAATAATAAGGCATTCGATCGTTACAGCCCTGAACGGACTAATAAAGCCAAATGGTAGTGTATGTGCTTTCCTTGGACTTGGGAACCGCATTGTTTATGCTGTGGGTATTTGTGATCTGATAACAATTCTGCCAACACTGACCTTAGAAATTAGTTTCGTTGTAGTTCCAGATAACGTTTTTCCGAATGGAATTGATTTTCTTATCGGTTTGGATGTTATTCTTCAACCCTCTGTGAGTGTTAGGAAAAGTGCTGATGGTATCGAACTTTATTATGAACCGAACGGTGGATTGAAAGTGCTAGCCGTGCAGTGTACAATGCGCGTTCAAATCAATCAAGCTGGACTAGATTATGATTTAAAGTTAGAATTAGAAACTTTGTTAACTGTGTATAAAGACAAGACTCCTGATCGCATTACTACCGGTAAAATGACAATAAAACTCAAAAACAGTGAACCTGTAGTGTATCACCCCCGACGATTAGCATACGAAGAACGGACTCGGGTAGCGGAAATAATTTGTGAACTTTTGAGGGACGGTATCATACGAGAGAGCCAATCAGAATACGCTAGCCCTATTGTGCTAGTTAAAAAGAAAAATGGACAATTAAGAATGTGTGTTGACTACCGCGATGTGAATAAAAGGGTGTTTCGTGAACGATATCCTCTGCCAGTTATACAGGACCAAATTAATATGTTGTATCGCGCAAAGTATTTTACGACGCTGGACATGAAATCTGGTTTCTACCAAACGGAAATAGAGGAGAGCTCAAAACACATTACTGCATTTGTAACTCCTGATGGACATTATGAGTTTAATCGTATGCCATTTGGATACGCCAATGCTCCATCCATTTATCAACGAGCAATCGATAAGGCTTTGGGGCCTCTTAAAGGTACAAAGGCCTTGGTGTATCTTGATGATGTTATAGTGCCCTCTCTGACAGTTGAAGAAGGACTAAAAGACTTGGAAGAAGTATTGAGTGCTTTATCTATGGCTGGCTTCTCTTTGAACTATGATAAGTGTGTATTCTTTGCCACAGAGACTGAATATCTCGGAGTCATACTAAGCGAAGGCACAGTGCGACCTAACCCCGGAAAAGTTAGAGCATTAACTGAAGCACCTCAGCCAGCTAGTGTGAAAAATGTACGTCAGTTTATGGGACTGGCTGGATACTTCCGGCGTTTCATAAACAGATTTTCGCAGTTAACCGCACCAATAACAGCCTTATTAAAAAAGAATAATAAGTTCGAGTGGACTCCCGAGTGTGAATCAATAAGACAATTGGTAATAAGCAAATTAACCAGTTTACCTGTTCTACGCATTTACAATCCGGACTTACCTTGCGAAGTGCACACGGATGCGACTTCAATTGGAATTGGAGCTGTACTTCTACAGAAAAAGGACGGTGTTGCTCAACCAGTTGCTTACTACAGCCGTCGTACTACCGAGTGTGAATCTAGATACCATTCATATGATCTAGAAACTCTTGCTCTAGTGGAAGCAATAGAACATTTTAGAGTATACCTGTATGGCGTCCATTTCACAGTATACACTGACTGCAATTCAGTGCGAGCAACTGCATTAAAGAAAAAATTACATCCTCGTGTAGCACGTTAGTGGGTAAAACTGCAAGATTCTGACTTCTCAATAGAATACCGCCCTGGTAATAAAATGATGCACGCCGATTATTTAAGCAGAAACCCCGTAGACGATGACAACTGCGAATTGAAGATTTGTGCGCTGAAAACAATAAATCCAACCAAACTTTCCGACAAACATTAAGAGAGTTCCAGAACAATGACTCATTTTGTCGGGAAATCTTCAATAATCCTGATGCTGACCCCGATTATACTGTTATGAGCAATCTCGTCGTAACCAGAACAAAGCCACCTAAGTGTTTTGTCCCAGTAGGCGCTCGATTGCTAGCAATGCGATTGTACCACGACATGTCATCACATATTGGCTGGGATAAATGCATTCAAAAATTACGAGAAGACTTATTTTGGCCAAAGATGGGAAAATGCCTAAAAAAATATATCAAAAATTGCAGAGCATGTGTTCTTGGAAAATCTCATACTGGTCCTCAACGCGGACTATGGCAGCATGGTGAAAAACCCAATGATATCCTGGAAACCTGGCACGTTGACCACGCTGGTCCCTTAGTGAAATCCAATGGATGTACGCAGATACTAGTCATAATAGACGCTTTTTCAAAGTTTTGTCGACTACAGCCGATACCAAAGAAAACATCTGAGTGTTCAATCCGTGCATTAGTACCTGTTTTTGAGGAATTAGGAAAACCACAGCGCATTATAGCTGATAGAGCAACCGCCTTCACGTCAATAGTGTTTCGAAATTTCCTGAGCGAACATAACATTCAACTTCATCATATTGCCACAGGAGTTCCTCGAGGAAATGGACAGGTGGAACGTGTTATGAGAACCGTTTTCAATTTGTTGCGAGCTACTCTTACCGATGAAAATGAAAATAAGTGGACTGTCGCACTAACAGCGATAGAAGACAATATCAATGCGACCATTCATTCTGTGACTGGTTACTCGCCCGCTGCACTCCAGCTAGGATGTAATCCAAGATTAACTGCAACACAACAATTTTTGGGCGACCTTCCGACAGATAACTTCATCGACCCTGACAAGGCCGTTTCAGAAGCAAGAATGCGGATGAGGCATAATGCAAACAAGCAATCTCAGCAATTTAACGCAACCAGATACGCCGCCGAATTGTTTTCAACAGGTGATCTAGTAGCAGTTGAAGATTCGCAGCTGGCTGGTGGAGGCAAATTAAAGGCTAAATTCAGGGGACCTTTCACCATTGAAGCCGTGCTTCCTAACGAAAGATATCTGCTACGCAGTAAAGGAAAACGCAGTACCGTAGCAGCACAAGATCAACTAAGACACTGGCCTTCCAGTCCTTCCACGCATCAGTGAAATGTAAGTACATAATTCACTATCAAAAAAAAAAAAAAATGTGTATGTGGCAACCCCACTGCAATAGCAAGAGTTTAGGATAGTGGCGACCCCACTATGCCTAGTAAGTGGCGATCCCACTGAAATAGCCAGAGAGTTGAGGATAGTGGCGACCCCACTATGCCTAGTAAGTGGCGATCCCACTGAAATAGCCAGAGAGTTGAGGATAGTGGCAACCCCACTATGCCTAGTAAGTGGCGATCCCACTGAAATAGTTAAGTAGCAGGAGGATAGTGGCGACCCCACTATGCCTAGTAAGTGGCGACCCCACTGAGATAGTTAAGTAGCAGGAGGATAGTGGCGACCCCACGGAAATAATAATTACAGATTGAATAAAGGTAGAAAGTGAAATATCGTGACAGCTCCATGAAAATAGTTGTGGAAAAAAAAAGAAAAAAAAAAAGATCCTGCTTCGTATTTTCTCTATTTCAGCTAGATACTCGTTTACGGCGCGAGGACGTGCCGATAGCAGGATGGCCGTGTAAGCGGAAAATCTAGAACACCCCGAAGTACCGGTGGCTCAGCATTCAAGTATCCGTCGCTGGCCGTCTAGTGATTGTTAGAACGTCTTTGGGTGACTGGGAACGTCGAGGTTGCGGGCTGTACAGCCGAACGCAGCCGAGTAGCCGAAGACAGTCGATCCCGAGAAGACCGACGTGGCAGGTGGGGACGGCGGAAGGGGTCTGGCGCGACGGTCGTGTAGAGCGTGACCTATGGCATGAGCTGTAACTTAAACAAACGGAATAATAGACGTTTAAAACAATCGCGTCGCTGTATTATTTGGGGTGTTCGCCCTATAGACCCATCTAAAGTTTACATTTATTTCTATTTCTTGTTCACTAGATTGTTTTTTTATAACTCCAATTTTGCACCTACATATATCGTAGACTTTTGCAT